CCCCTTTGCTCCCTGGGCCCCCCCCCCAGTCCAGTGCTCCCCCGGGCATTACTACAACACGAGCGTCCATCGCTGCATCCGCTGCGCCGTGGGCACCTACCAGCCAGATTTTCGGCAGAATTACTGCATCGCCTGTCCCGGCAACACCACCACCGACTTCGACGGCTCCACCTCCGTGTCCCAGTGCAAAAGTAGGCGAGCTGGGGTGTGATGGAGGGGGGGGACAGGCATGGCGTGAACCGGGGCCCTTCCTCAAAATTATTTAAAAATCCCTTAAAAAAGAGTTTTGCATCATTTCTGTGCTCTGTGCATGCAGGCAGGCATGGGGCTATGCACCGAGCAGTGCTAATAAAGAACTTCCCCCCCTTGCCCAGTAAACCCACCCGGTCCCAGTGCCCATGCCACTGGTTCCCAGTTGAACCAGCTCCCCATGCCTTGCAGACCGGCAGTGCGGGGGAGAGCTGGGCGAGTACACGGGCTACATCGAGTCCCCCAACTACCCGGGGAATTACCCCGCCAACGTCGAGTGCACCTGGAACATCAACCCACCACCTAAGCGCAAGATCCTCATCGTGGTGCCGGAGATCTTCCTCCCCTCCGAGGACGAGTGCGGCGACGTCTTGGTCATGCGGAAAAACTGTAGGTAACCGAGCGTGCTGCGGTGCTCACGGGAGAAGCCGGGGGAGGAAGAGGCTGGGGTTTGGCAGAGCTGCCTCATGCAAAGGGAGAAAGCTGCGGCCCCGGGCGGCAGGAGGGGATTTTGGGGAATTAGCTGAGCGAGGGGCTTGGCATCGCCCTGCTGCCCCGGTGCCTTGCTGAATCAGGGGGATGTGCATGGGCGAAGCATGGGCTGGATGCACACCTGGGTCTCAGCACTTCTTTTTTGGGGTAAAAAGCACCATTTGGAGCTTTCCAGAGCAAGGAAGGAATAACAACATCCCTGGTGTGTAATGTGAGGGTTGAGGGGGGCTCAGCCTCACCGAACATGGACAATCCCCATCCCTGGTGCCCCCCTTCACCCTGAGCATTTAAACATGTGAAAGCTGGGGGTGGCTCTGCCGATGGGTATCCAGCATCACGCGTCCCCTCGCCGTTCCCCGCAGCCTCCCCGTCCTCCATCACCACCTACGAGACATGCCAGACCTACGAGAGGCCCATCGCCTTCACTGCCCGCTCTCGGAAGCTGTGGATCAACTTTAAAACCAGCGAAGCCAACAGTGCCCGGGGCTTCCAGATCCCCTACGTCACCTATGATGGTGAGTGCAGGGGGACCTCAGCCTGGCATACCCATTACCTACAGTTTGGTACCTGGGTCACCCCCAGTTCACACCTCCCAAGTATTTGGGGGGAGCAGACTCAAGGATGGGGACCAGAGGTTTGGGGACAAGCTCATGCCCTTGACCATGGTTTTTTGGCTGGGTGTTGCAGAGGACTACGAGCAGCTGGTGGAGGACATCGTGCGGGACGGCAGGCTCTACGCCTCTGAAAACCACCAGGAGATCCTCAAGGTGAGCGTGTCCCCACTGGGTCCTTGCTGCCTGGGGCTGCGGGGATGCTGGTGTGCAGGAGCATCCTTCCCTTCGGGTGTTCCCCCGTGCCCTCTCTGCGCTCGGTGGCTTCAGTTCGGAGCCGCCGCAGGGGGAGCACAGGGTGGCGTGGTGACCCTCCCCATCCACCTTGGCTTCCCTCCAGGACAAGAAGCTCATCAAAGCTTTCTTCGACGTGCTGGCGCACCCCCAGAACTACTTCAAGTACACGGAGAAACACAAGGAGATGCTGCCCCGCTCCTTCATCAAACTCCTCCGCTCCAAAGTCTCCAGCTTCCTCCGGCCTTACAAATAGCCCCCCGCATTCCCGCTGCCCCCGGGCCGCCCCGCAGCCAAGGAAAACCTCTTCTCCCTTCCTTCTCCTTTCCAATTTTCTCCTTCCTCTGCTCGGCTCCGGCAGGATCTCCACCTCTTGCCCTGCACACATCCCCCCCACGATTTGTCCGCCGCTCCCCGCAGAGCTGTGCCCCGGGCGGGGGGGGGGGATGCTCCGGTCTCATCCAGCCGCTGGTGAAGCTGCTCCTCTCTTCCAAAGCAGCTTCTTCGTTTTAGGAAACCGAAGCACTGGTCCTTTCGCCAGCCTCTGTCCTCCCTTTGGTTTCCTTTATGCCAGGTCTGTCCCCGTTCCCCGGTGCCACCGGCAGCCCGGGACATCAGCGGAGGTCATCGTCCTTCCAGCCCCCGGGGCTGGCGCCGGCTGCAGCCCCACCGAGCTCTTTCGCAGAGGATAGCAAGAAGGTAAACGCCATATTTATCGCAGCGCCCGGGGCGTGGGTATTGGCATCGCTTTGCAGAGATTGGGGGAAAAGAATTTTTGTTTTTTGAAAAAGTGTACTTGATTAGAAAGAAAACGTAAAGGAGAGATCGGCAAAGCACGCCAGCAAAAGGCAACCGTGGTGGCTCCGGTGGCTGTCCCACCAGAGAGCCACGCTGGCGCTGGGAGGAAAGCACAGCCAAGCCACGTTCCCGGAGAACAATGTCTGGCTGCACGGGAGAAAACAGGGAGCAAAGGAGAAGGACTTTCAGCCGGGTTCGTTGTTTTTTGGGTTGGTTTTTGGTTTGGTTTTTTTTTCCCCCCCACCCCAGAACACTTGTGCCAAGAAACCAGACTTTCTTACAAGCTCTGCCAAAGAGTAACTCGGAAAAAGCAAGCTTTGTGAAGAGCAGGAGTAAATGTTTGTGCACTAGGATATCCTCCTTTCTACCTTTTTCATATGTATTAAGTGCAATCATTTGAGTCTTCTTTATATTATTTAGAGGGAAGTGTTTTTGTTTTTTTTCTACTAGAAACGACGATATTTATACCTGCCTGAGAAATGAGAATGTGCGTTTGTAACAAAAAAAAAAAAAAAAAAAACAAAAAAAAAAAAACCCCCACCCCCCCCCCCCCAAAGCAAAGCCAGCCCCAGGCTGCCGCTGAGCAGCGGGATGCTGTTTTCAGGCCTTGCAACCTTTTCTGCCGCATTTGTCCCCAATAAAAACCCCTTTTTGGAGGGGTGGGGAGGGGGGAGATGGTGCCTCTCCTGCTCGGGGTGTGCTGGGGTGAGTTTTTGCAGGGGGAAACTGAGGCATCTCGGTCTGTCCGTGGAGGCGATGGAGCGCCCGGGGTGGCTGCGGGCGTTCGGGCTGAGCCGCCGTGGTTTGTGTCGTTCAGGCCCCGGTGCCAGGAGGATGCAAAACTCGGCCCCGTCACCTGCTTGTCTCAAACTGGTTTGCTTCCCCACAGGGGCTCAGGGATGAGCCGAGAGCCGGGGAGACCCGGGGCAGGTCCCAAGGCAGGGTCTGGGGGGGCACGCTGGGAGGAGAGGGGACTTGCCCCGCTGCTCAGCCCCGAAATCTCTCCCCCCCCCGAGGTACAGAGATCCCTAGAGGGAGTCATCCCTCCCCAGCCTGGGGGAAGCTTCGTGCTTCCAAGTCCCTTCAGATGCTTTTGGCTCCATTCCTTCTCCACGTGCTCATCCTGCTGGGATGCTGTGGGAGCCCCTGCCCAGGGAGCGGGGCACGGATCCCGGGGGGACCCCATCCTGCCCCCCCCCCCCCCTTTCACCACCGCCTGCCTTCTCCCAGCTTCGCAGACAGGCACAGCTGGGGATGATGGCCAAGTGGATGTCACCGCTGGGCTTGTCCCTCAGCGTCTTCATGCAGCCAGACAGGACCCCTGGGGACAGGAGACCGCTGCCACCGGTCCCCCCTCTTCCTCCTCCCCAAACCTCGCTCCCTTTCCAGCCCTGCAACGAGCTCTCGGCTGTCACCAACCCGCACCTTCAGCCCCATCTTCATCCTCTCGAAGACCCGGAGCTGCCCAGACTAATTGTGGTCAACTTGCCTACAGCTTTCCTGTTGGCAGGTCCCCTCCCGTCCCCGCTTGTCTCCTGCTGTCCCCTCGACCACATCTGGGGTGAGCCCTGCTCTTAATGAACAATTATTTATTGCTCTGCACGTCCCCCCGGGTCAGTCCTTGCCAAAACAAGGGTGGCAGCTGCTCGCCCGTGTTTTCCCTCCTCAATCCATGCTGCTCCAGCGCCCCGAGAGCTTCTCTGGGCTCCATTAGGGGCTGTGGGCTGGGTGAGCGCTGGGAAGGGGGCTGAGGTTTGTCGCCAAGATGCGTCGGTTGGAAAAGTCCGTCCTGATTCATCCCAGCTGTGGATTTACCCCTCCTGCTGCCCAGCTCCCCGCCTGTTTGGAAGCTCAACATCTGCGGGCTGAGCTGTTTGTCACTTGGTTGGTGTCTGAAAGCAGCTGCTTTGATGCACAAAAGCTGTTGTAGGGATTTGGAGGTTGGGGTTTTTTCGGGGTTTTTTTTTTCTTCTTTTATTGCTCTGGGGCAGTCGCAGCGGAGCAGTGACCGTTGGAAGGGTCTTTCAGCGTTAGAAGGAAAAAAAAAAGAAAAAAAACAGCAGCAAAAATAAAAACAACCCGGGAATGACTGACCCTGCTGCGGTGACCCCGGCGCGATGCAGCCACTGGTGCTCGCTGAGTTTATGAATTCCTTGTGATTTAACGGCGGGGTTGCTCTCGCTCTGACCTTGTGGGGACCAGGGCTACCAGAGCCCTGGGGAGTCCTGGTTGCCACCGTTGTCACCACACTGACCACCTCCACAACCCCCCCAAAGCAGTTTTGGAAGGGTGAGCTGGGCAGTGCGTCCTCCTGCAATGGCCAAAGCCACCCGGTAACGTCTCATCCCCCTCTCTTTCACCAAATCTCTCAAATAACCCCCCCCAAAAAAGTCCATGGGTCCACCAGAACCACCCCCGTGCAGTTCAGTCCCTCTTCACCCGCACCTATGAGCTGGAAAAGGTTTGAAAGGCAGAAAACGGCATCGTCAGCCTCCTCGGATGTATTGAATGTTTCAACACGGTGAACATAAATAAGGGTTGTTGGGTTTGGGGTTTTTTTTTTGGTTTTTTTGGGTTTTTTTCATGTTGGAATATTTATATCTGCCTTTTGCAGCGGGCAACGACTTAACCATCTCCAGCAAAAGCGATTAAAGTCATGCGAAAGATGTAGTTCATGAAGTTATTTGCACTTGATTAAAAGGAAAAAAAAAAATGTATCTGAACTTTGTAAAAAAGAAATGTTTGCATTTTGTATTGTCTTTTTTTAATTATTAAATGGAATTTCTTGGTGTTGTGTTGATCTTTCAAAAACTGGCTCCGACGCTTATTTTAAAGGTTTCTAACAGCAGGGTCCAAAGCTGTTTTCATTGTTTTGTTCCCTTGGATGCTAAGAGCAGCTCTTTTCAAGGGCACAGGGTTTGGTTTTTCCCCCTCTAGAAGTTTAAACCCTGCACACTTCCAGAGGCTCCCCCGTCATTACACAATGTATTTATTTATATACATTAATTAGATGCAACGTACCTCATTTTTAGCCCAGAACACGGATTTGGACTGGGACTTGCTCAAGCAGAGGGGATGGAAAACACTTTGCCTTGGCCCCAACCCCCTCACTGAGCTGCAGCTCCCACCCCACACCCCCCCAGTTCCTCTGGATCCTGCAGGTAACTGGGACCAGCTGGCAGACACCCATCAGGTCCTCATGAGCTGCAGCTGGGCAGGGAGCCCAGGCCCCAGGCACTGGTCACTGCAGGGGCAGAAGCCTGTAAATGCCAGTGCCCCCCAGCCCACTCCCCCAGCCCACTCTGGATGGCATTGGGCAACTGCAGGATGAGGTAAGGGGGATCCTGGGGCTACAGCGGTGCTGCTGAGCAGCTACAGCTGCACCACACCCCCCCCAGCTGTGGTAACCACCGCTGTTGTGGGTGAGAGCGGAGCCATTCCCCCTCCCCACCCTGCTCTGAAAGCAGGATGGGGTGGCTCCTGCCCTCAAAAGCTCCAACGTTCTGATATTCCACTCGAATTCATGCCCCTATCAGCTCAACACAGCATTTCTCGCTGCTCTTCAGCAAACCCTTCCCACCCAGCCTTGGAGGAACACAACCAACCACGCAGCTGTAGGTGTCCTAAAAGGTTTATTGCTGCCCCTTTAGTACAGGCGCTGGGGCTTCCCCATGGTGCTCTTGATATACAAAGCCCGCACGTTCTGCCAGTTCTTCTTCAGCAAGGACACCAGAAAGTTGATGGCCAGATGGATGTTGTAGACAAGTTCGTCTTCCGTCATCTTCACGTGACCGACGGCCACAGCAAGACAGAGCACCTGGGGGACACGGACACCAGAGTCACTCATGGAGGTGGAGTTTTTGTGGGGAAATCAAAAGATTACAGGTAAGCGACTGACAAAACCAGCCTAGCACTGATCTAAACGCATCAGGGTACCAAATTATCTCATGTTCTATCAGCTGGAGGCGACTTCTCCAGCTGAGCCAGGAGAGTTGCCACAGAGCTTGTTGTATTTGGCACACGGCTCCCCTGAACATGTCTGGCAGCTCCTGGATGCCACCAACAGCTTGGCTAGGTCGGGCTTCTCAAGAGTGCAAAGGTGACTGAAGAGATGGGGAAACCGGGGAGGACGTGTAACACGCTGTGCTGAACGAGCGCCGGGGCGAGAGCAGACCGCTGGTTTAACCCCACTCCCACCCCCGGCTCATCAGGCGGCGTCGGCACGTGCCCTGCAAACCGCGAGCCCGGCGCGGGACAGAGGATTGGCTCCAAACTGCGCTGCAAAGCATGGCACTTTTTGGTTTGGGCACCAGCCCTTTCTTTCCGCACATAAAACCCGGAGAGGCCAAGCCTCTGCCTGCCAGCCTCGCCGAGCAGCTTGCAAGGCAGCGTTCCCCACAGGCTGAAGACAAAAGGATTTATGAGCGAGCTGACAGGCAAAGTGTCGGGACATCGTTA